ATGAAGGGATGGACACTGGGAGGAGGTAACTATGGGGAGGAAGTGGGAGGGGAGCTGCTGCATTGTAAATTTTGGTCAATGACATGAGACAATGTATATGTGAACTGCTGTATGAAAAGTGAATTTACTCTGTAAATCTTCACCCAAATCCTAATAATAAAAAAAATAAAAATAAAAAAAACAGCCAAACCAACAAAACCTCCTGTGCTTTTCTTCTAGCTCTTTAATGGTTTCACTCTTTGATCCATCTGGAATACTTTTTTTTTCGATGTAAGGAGTAAGGTAAAGCTTCATTCCATTTTTTCCCATATAATCTTTAATCTTTCCATATAATTAGCCAGTTGCCAACACTCTCTTCCTCACTGATTGGAAATGCCATTTTATCAAATGAAGCAGAGTAAACTTTGAATACAGGTCACAACTTCTCCCTTCCCACCGAGGGAGGAGGAGAGCTTAACTGGCCTACTCACTGGGCTGGAGAAAAACCTGTTGAACCACCTGTAATTCAGATGCCAAAGGTGGTCACATGAACCATCTTCACCCCACATTCTAAGTACAGTCTGTTCCAAAGAGCTACAGGGACCAGCTCTTTAGTAAAACAACTGAGTGCCCCACTATAAAAATTTCTGAATTCTTAACCAACTGGTTTAGAGGAAAAAACAAACTCATTAGCTTAGCTTCTTTTCCCCCATACCTCATATACTCCCTCTGCCCCATTAGAGGGGTTCTTAAAGCTTAGGTCCATGGACCCATTAGGACCTCTAAAGATGACCTTCCAGAGTTCTAGGAACTCCCTGGGAGTGAATAGCATGGCATGTGGATATGCCTAACTACCTTATTCTGGGAAAAAGGTTTTTAGCTTTCAAAGTTTCTCAATGACACGGATCCAAACCTACTGTCACTGAGTCGATTCTGACTCATCATGACTCTACAGGACAGAGTAGAAGTGCCACAGAGTTTCCAAGGCTGTAAATCTTTACAGACGCAGACTGCCTCATTTGTCTCCCATGGAGCAGCTGGTGGATTAGAACCACCGACCTTCTGGTTAGCAGTCCAATGCTTTAACCACAGCTTCACCAGAGCTCCTCTCTCAAAGACACAGGCGACCTTAAAAAGGCTAAGAACAAAAGAACTTCTTTCAAACCCAGAATAAATCCCAAAGCCAATGCCAAAAGAGATAGATTTGAATTTCAAGAGATAAGGAATTAATAAGATGGCTGATTCCTGAAATCTTTGTAAATATCATCTAACTGTTAGTGACAGAGGCAAGACTACTTTATCTAGTAAGAAAAGCAAAAGCTCCCCTACTTACCATCATAGCCGCCTAACACAAGCCACGGAAACACAGGTCCACCAAAGGTGCCCAGACAAGGGTCATGGAGGAGACTTGTATCATTCAGAGAGGTGGGAGCCCTGCCAGAAAATTGAGATATGTCTCCGAATTAGAACAAGTCTCGAGACATCACAGAGACCCAAACATTTACACAACAAACATTCAGTGAGGCTTACTATAGCCGAGGCACAATGTGGGCCCTGAAGTCACTAAACTGAATAATTTAGTTCAGTATAAGCATTTACAAGCCCAGAATTTATTGAGTAAGAAGTTGGCAAATATGATATAACTCTGTCTGGAGACACTCTGGGGGCAGCAACTAACACATGGGGAACTATCAGCAAAGAGAGGAGACCAGTACAGACCAGACCTCCCAGGAGGAGGGAGAATGTATCAGGGAGAGAAAGGAGGGCGGACCATCCACTGCAGTGGTGGAAGGGGAGGTGGGGGGTGAGAACATGTGTACATGAGAGGATGAGAGAAAGAGCAATGTATTGGGGGAATGTAAGACATCCTCTGTGTCTAAAGCATGGGGTGCCTGTGTGCATGTATATGGGGTGACCCCTGAGGGAGGGGATGAGGCTAGAAAAGGTTAGGGACAATGGAAGAAGGCTTTAAATGTCATGTTACATAGTTTGAAGCTTTACTTTGTAGGCACTGGGGACAACCAGGAGATTTTGGGGAAGGGATATCACAAGATAATTTGGGGAGCAAAGTGGAAGAGCATCTAGAAGTGGGAAAGACAGGAAGTCGGGAGGCCAGTCAGCAGATATGTAATGGCTCAGACAAGAAACAGTCAGGACCAGCACCACACTAGTGCAAGACAGACAGAGAGACAACGAGTGGGCTGGGGAGCCAATGTTTCAGCATCGATGTTCTCACTCCTAATCTGGACAACCATCCTTCAGAGTCAACAGATGATGGTGCCGCGGCCCCGTAGGCAAGGCTGAGAAGCTTGCACGGCTGACGGTCAGTGGGACTTAGCTCATGGCTGACATCTGCCTTCCCATCACAGATTTGAGAGATCATGCAGAGATAAAGCTCCACATTAAAATAACCAGCAAATGCCGTTATTAGTGAATAACAAGGGTGCGGAGGAAGATGCCTGTGCGGTGATGGGTAGCCGAGTCTGTGGTTCCTGTGGGACCTCTCAGAGAAAGCAGCAGGGTGAGGATAGGAGGAAGAGCTAGAGATGGGCCTGAGGGCATGGAGGATACATACAGGTACAACCAAGAACCAAACACATCCCTAACACCCTGGAGCTGTTATAACAGTGTTTCTCCACCTATACAACCACGCCCCCTTTTGATAAAATACCTGTCGCATGTACCTCCCCCCCAACATTTTGTTGATTTTTCTTTTGTAAAATAACAGAAAGCAAATACTTATTTTCTCCAAATACAAAAATCATTAACAATGATTTTTTTTTTCCTTGAAATAAACCATGTCTCCCCTGTACTACCTACCCTGTTGAGAACTCTAGTTTAGGGTACATGGATACAGACTTATTGTTTTATGTGAGTATAACCCATCTTTTAGACACGACCTCCTTGAAATAAACAGCCCAGTGGTCACAACAGTCATGCAGAAATTGGGGTTACCAAACAGAGTAAGTGCCAGTGCACTTGGGTCTCAGACATGGTTAGTTGAGGAGTGCACTCAAAGGTGACAAGGTGTAATTTCTCTGTTCACATCTAGAAAACACAATAGCCCCTGTGGTTGTTCAGCTGGCTGAGCAACTCTGTGTCCAGGTAGGTCAGGTCACACAGCAGGGTGTTTGTGCCAGGACAGCAGGTCAATCCCGTGTCACTACCACTCTCGCTTCCTTGGACAACTTTAGAAATCATCTCATTGGGTCAACATGCACAGCTTCTCTCTGAGACTAATTCAAATTAAACCCACTCTAGCCAGTTAGACATCCATCCTATAGAAAGCAGCTTCAGGTCATCCAACCTAAAATTCCTGTTCTTTAAAAACAACTTGATATAAATTTATTTTTGAGACAGGAGAAAGCACTCCAGGCTTTGAATTTTGTACTATGAAACTAGCGTAACAAAACCTTAGTGGGTGGTGTGGGACGTCAAATTGCATGTTATCAACTGGGGCATGAGTTCAAGGTTGAGATCTGCTATTCCTTCATCATCTACTACGAGCACTCCCACCACAGGGGGTTTGTACCACAGAGGGTTGGTACTTGCTGTTCATTCTGTGTGGAGCGTATTTCCCTCGTGAGGCTCCCAGCTTTCCTTCCTCTGCCCACTCTCTCTATAGCAGTACACTCCACTGTTCCCACGTCCTGCTTTATCTTTCTGCACAGCACCTTCCTCTGCCTGACGGTGTATTATATTTATTTGTTAAACGTTTGTCTTTCTGCATTAGAATGTCAGCTTTGGAGGACAGGGTTTTAATCTGTTTGCTCACAGCTGTGTATCTATCATCTTGTAGTGACAGTAGGCATTCAAGTATCTGTGGGATAAATGAATGATTGCCTCCCTGAAGTGTAATATTCGCAGAGGCAAATGTGCCTCCAGCCACTTACCGCACACAGTACAGAAAGTGTGTGTGGTAATCTGCATACACATAGAAGTCGTCCCCCATTTTATGGTCCAGCACAGAATGGCTGTTCTGGAAGTAATTTAACACACTCAGAATGGTGCAGTTCTTGTTATATGGTGACAGTGGGGCCACGCAGAGGTCCTGAAGTGTCACAGTCTTGTTGTTATATGATGCAGTAATGTTTTCAATGGCTGTCTGTAAGTCAAGAACCTGAAGAAAGCAAAAACAAACAAACCCAGACAAATGTCAGATTTCTCTCAGATTTTGACGAATGATGGTGGTGAGGGGTCAAAGGATAAAAAGTATTTGGACAAATGCCTCCTAAGGTGGGGCACATGACAGGGTACACTGTGGTACAGCCTGATGATGCCAAGGACCCAAATCAGGGTCCAGAAAACTGGGACAAAGACTCTGCTTGGCGACATCCAGGGAGATGGGAGGGGGGTCCCTCACCATCAAGTACCCAACAAAAACAAGACAGACATCAACGTAAGACAGACCTCTCCCTTTTGGGTCGCTCTCCAGCAGTGACCAACATGGCCACAGAGGGGAGATGGAGCAAGAGCCCTGGTATTCTCAGGCCCTCCCCATCACCAACACCACACCACCTACTGCCTCATTACATACAAATAGTATTGCTGTATATTCCAGTATTTGCTAATAGACAATAAGCTCTTCAGGGTAAGTGACGACATTGTTCATCTTGTGCACAAAGCAGGTCATTTGATAAACTTCTGATGAATATAAACTGAACAACTTGGGGAAAACCAACAGATAATCACTGGGTGGAGAAATGATTCTCTTAAAGTTTTGGGACTGTTGTGATGATTTTAAAGATATTAGACCTTCTATAGGTGAGAGCATGATGTCCTGGTGGTGAAATGGTTAAGCACTTGACTGCTAACCAAAAGGCTGGCAGTTCAAACTCAATAGCCACTCTACAGGAGAAAGATCTGGCAGTCTGCTTCTATAAAGATTTACAGCTTTGGAAATGCTACTGGGTAGTTCTCTGTCCTATATGATTGCTCTGAGTTGCAACTGACTCCATGGCAGTGGGTTTGGTTTGGTTTGGCAGGTGATAGCAATGTTTAAAAGAAATTTAATGTGATTGTGCGATCCTTCCACTAAGACTGAATGTGGGATGTAGTTTATTCACAGGTACAGTACTTCAAGGTAAGTGTGATAAGGGAAGACCAGAAGGTTTAAATGCCTTTTAAAGAGAAGTGGGTTGACGTCTCATCTCAAATATACGTTCCTCCCAAGGCTGGTCGAGAGCCTGAAGTCAGGCAGGTGGTGAGCTTACTCCTTCATACAGATCAATGATGGCCCAGTGGTCCCTCCCCTAACCCCTAGGAGAGCAGGGAGGCTTCATTCCTCTGGGTCCTAGCATATTACTTTCAGTTATCAAGGGAGAAAATTCATAAATCCCTAAGGTGAATTCTTGATAAACACATTTTGTTTCCATACAGAAATGCTATGTAAATCTTCTGCTCATCTCAGTCTTAAGAAAAATGCAAGACCTACTACCAACCAAAATAATGTGAAGGAAATAGAAAAGTGAGCTAGGCACAGCTTTTATTAAGTTCAACACCTATTACTCACTTTCTTGAAAAATTAGTGAAAAGTGCCTTTACTTCAGAAAAAAAAAAAAAAGTGCCTTTACGTTGACCTTTACAATGTTTACTACATGCCAGTACCTACAGCCCCAAATCCACATCAAGCAGAACTGGTCAACAGACATTCAGGTCCTTTCCCTCCCCAGGATTGAGCTGTGCAAATAGCAGATTACCTGGTGCAAAATCTCTTTGTTAAGTGGAGGTCCAAAAGACACGTCATCCCCCGAGGGGTACGGCTGGTAGATGTGCTTGTCAGTATGGGGGGCCCGGATGATGAGCTGTTCCGTGCGGAAGAAAGGCCCAAAGTGCATGTCAAAGTACTCCTTCTCCCGGCGTGCCTGGCTGCTGGGGGCTGACCAGAGGTCGACGGGATTGGTTGTGACCCGCATAAACATCAGGCCCAAAGAGCACACACCAATGAAGACCAGGGAGAAGATGATGACGCAGGCAGGGTTTCGGACGCAGAAAGCCCCCCATTGTGTGAACAGCCACTTCAGACGGCCCTCAAAAGCTGCACCAAGCTGGTCACAGCAGGATGCCTCCCCTGGAAGAGCGGGAGAGGAAGGGAGGGTGGAAGTTAAGAGCCAAGCCATTCCTGAAAGGTGGAACAGGGAACATTAGGAAAGTTGGAACAGGGCAGTTGGAACATTAGCTACCACCACACGGTGGCCACCTGAGCCCTCGCAGCATAGCACCTCGTAACAGCCTGATGCAGCCCTCAGCTACCATCTGCTTAGCAGCACCCACCTCCCTGGATGCCACCAGGAGTGACATCCTTGTCCCCAGAGGAACAATGCTCACACACAAGTCTTCCTCTGGGGATTGACGTTCTCAAACTAAACCAAAACCAAACTCACTGCCATTGAGTCGATTCCAACTCATAGTGACCCCACTGGGTTTCTGAGGTGGTAAATCTTTATGGAAATAGATTGCTCAGTTTTCCTTCCATGGAGTGGCTGCTGGGTTTGAACTGCCTACCTTCTGGTTAGTAGCCAAATGCCTTAGGCACTGTGCCACCAGAGGTCCTTCTGTCTAGAGCAGTTCCCCCATCACTCCTGCTCTCAGCGGGCTATGTTATTTATGTCACTCCTCTTATCCACCCCAAAGCTATGTCATTACCAATATTAATTACTTGGTTCTGATCTGCCACTCTGACTAGACTGTTACTGCCACTGAGGCAAAGCCATCTCTGTCTCAATCACAGCTGTACCCTGAGCACTAGCACACTAGGCTCCCTCATAGCAGGTGCATAAACGTTTGAGGAAGAGATGGACACTCTCATGCCAACATCGTCTAAACACTTTTTCATTTCCGTATCAAACTGCCTACCTTTGTCACCGGCATTCACAGAGTAAGCTATATTGCTGTCAATGGGGGTGTACTCAGAGACAAAATACCGTTTTCTGAAAAACAAAAGCAGGTAAGTAGTATTAGTGGACTTAATCCTAATAAGGCTGTTAACGCTGACATGCCGTTACCGCATTTCAAAGCTTGTTCCGTCATTCTGTCTCTTCCTCCTCCCTTCTTTCCCCTCAATTCCCTCGATCTGGGTCCCTTTGCTCACCAGTCTTAAGAGAAGATTTAAGAAGGTATTTTAAAAAGTCTCAACAAAGTAGTAAGGAGTAATTTCACCTTATAGTCTTCATTTATATTGTTAAAATTTTGGTCTTTTTAAAATTCACTGTCCTCCCCAGTAGCAGTGAGCACAGCTAGTGTACAGATCATGGCTTCTGAATGATAGAAGGAATCAGGGCTTCTTGCAGAGATGGTTGATTTCAGGGCTGGGTCAAGGAATATCTTGTGATGCCAGACAATAAGAGAGTACTTGAAAAAGGATGGGGGCATGTCAAAAAGACACAGAGCCAACCAGGAAGTGCTCCCAATGACCAAAACTGGAAGAATCTGAGTAACAAGATAAATGCTAGTACTGGATACAATCCATAGAATAAGAAAAACCAACCAACCATGAGCCCATACTGATGCAAATAATGGGATAAGTAAATAAATGGGGGAGAAGAAACAGATCCTTGTACAGAGTTAAGTCCAACTAGTAAATGTAGAAAAGATGGTAAAATTTCACCCAAATCACAGTAAAAAGTTTGAAAAAAACACATAGAAGAAATGAGAGAAATGCAGCAGCACCATCAGGCAAATGTCACAGTAGTAACTTGTGGTCAAGATCCACCGACAGATGCTAAGGTCAGTGGGTGAGAGTTTGAGGAGAAACAGGGCATTAGCATAGTTTGAAAATATTTCTCCCAAGATATGAATCACTACAGAGAGAAAAATCGTAACTTTGCAGCAAAGAAACCGGCAGACACCGCCTTCATTTAATATCATCAGAAGTAAGACATGGACATCACGTACCACTGATGTGTGTGACCCACTGACAAGGATACAGGACCACTTCTGGGTATTCTTGCCAAAAACACACAACCTCAGTCGACTCGTGAGAAAATAGCAGGTAAAGACAAACTGACATTTGTAGAATGTCTACAAATACTACAAAATACCTAATCTGTACTCTAAAAGTGTGAAAGTCACAAAGGACAAGGCTGATGGGCTGTCACAGACTGGAGCAGACTTATTAATGAAACAAAAATTAATGAGACGAGGGATCTTGGACTAGATCCTGGAACACTAAAAGTGGTGGGGTTTGAATAAAGCCTGTGCTTTAGCTGATAATACTTTCCCAACGTTCTTTTCGTGGTTTTGGTAATTATACTATGGTTATGTAGGTTGTCACATGAGCGGAAGCTGAGTGAAGGGTATGCATAACTCTGTACTATTTCTGAAACTTTTCTGTAAATCTCAAAATGTTTCCAAATAAAAAGTTAAAAAGAGAAAAGAAAAGTACTGTCCTGGGCTCTGGGTGGTACAGTTAAGTGCTTGACTACTAACCAAAAGGTTGGTGGCTCAAACCCACCCAGAGGCACCTTGGAATAAAGGCCTGAAAACTGACTCCTGAAAGCCCACAGCTGTTATTAAAAAAGAAAATAAAAAATGCTGTCCTAAATTAAAATGCAAATTTCTAAAAGGAGTAGAGCACTACATATAATTAGAAATGGAAAGGACTAACAAAGTGGGATTTGAATTAGATTCAGCACATATGACCTTTCTGTTAAAGAACAGGTAGCTAACTAATTTCAAATGTTTAAATGTCTAAAGAGGCCTCTGAACATTTACTAGTTGAAGGACATTAGTGGAAGGGCAGTTAATGCCCATATTTGTTTCTTGTTCTAATCAACCATCTGCCGGGCAGAAAGCTGAAAGTGCCACTGGTTCATTTTGCTCTTCCTGCTGTAGAAGACAAGTAAAACTGCTTACCTGTAGCACCACACTGCAAAAAATGCTCCAAAAAAAAGAAGCAAAAATGCCATGTAGGTGATCCACATGATGACATACATGGCATCCAAACCAAAGATGATCCAAGGAGTCGGAGGGGGCGGGGGCTGGGGCTTGGGGCCGCAGACGACTGAGCAGTCCTGGCAGCTGCAGGGCCCCGTGACCTCGTCCACAGCCTCCTCACAGCCCTTGGTGGCATTGTTCATGGGCTTCATCCCAAGCACTGAAAAATCTACAGGTAGAAATTGTACTGAGTGAATATCTCAGTTAGGAAAAAAAAAGAAATATTTTTTCTTAAAGTATGTTAAAATCTAACAATAAGCACACTGAAATACATAACACAATTTTTAGAAAAAAAAAGCCCAAGTGTTTGATACAATATGTTCTTCTGCTTAGTCCTCTAAAATTTTAAGTTACCTCAATAACTTAGTGTACAGGGTTTTGTTACTAAACTTGAATATAGTATATATCAAGGTAAACCTTAAATCGTGCCTCATCTCCGCCGAGGAGCTAGTCAATTCTGACAGCAGAGCTTCTGAAAAAGCCTTTGTAACATTTTTCAGCCTTTTTCTAAAAAACAGCTTATTCTTTTAGTTATGTAGCAGTACCTGAAGGCAATTCTCTTTCTCATCCATTCCTACGGCCCTCCCCTAAATGAATCAGGGTCAGGATCTAGGCTCTAGTTACCTCACAGAGAGAGAGACTCTAGGAACGAGTCATCTGAAGTTGTTTATCTTCCTATTGCAGATTATGGGGCTTTGGCTGTAACATAACATCATAAATGCACACAACTTGCCAAACTTTATACCCACCTGAAAAAACGGGTGTGATGGTAAAAGGGGCCTGCCCGTTATCCTTGTTGAACATGTACTCAATCCAATTGGTGGCGTTGCAGGCCTTGGCGTCCTTCCCACACAGCAGCCCCAGGGCTTTGTCATTACTTGAGGGAGCCTCCACATCCCGGCAGGCATTGTACATGGCTGGAAGAAGAACCCCAGGTAAAAGACTGGAACTTGGTGTATGCTTTAATTTGCCTGTGAGCTCTCACAGATGGACATGCACATGGGAACACCAAACTCCTTGTGTCCTGCAACCAGAAGCCACACTAGGTGAGCAGGCTGGATGCAGGACAGTAAACACAATGGGCAGGAACTGAGATTACCATCAAACTAGCTTCACCCCTGCAAACAATATTCTAGGGCAGATTCCAAGTAACTTAAAAGTAAAAGTCAGGAAGAGTTTCTGTTGTCCTATGTTGTTCTTGGGAGCTCTGGTGGCATAGTGCCTAAAGCATTTGACTGCTAACCAGAAGCCTGGCAGTTCAAACCTACTAGCCACTCCTTGGAAGGAAGATTGGGCAATCTACTTCCATAGTGATACACACACACCCACACACACATACCTCTTGGAAACCCAAGGAGGGGTTGCTATGAGTCGGGTCTGACTCGACAGCAGTGTGCGTGTGTGTGTGTGTGTGTGTGTGTGTTGTTCTTACAGTGGCCTGGAGAAGTATCAAGCTGCAGACTGTAGAGAAGAGCCTTCACAGGCCCAGGAAGGAGGAACTATGAGCCTGGTACTTCTGCAGCCAATGAAGTAGGTTCCAGAAAATTTCTGTGGTGGTAGAACAGACAGCTGGAGAATTAGGGAGTTTATGGGGAAAATTGGTTTCAGGACAGACAGAGGTCACGTGTGAATGAACTTATTTTAGTACATATGTAGATGATACACAAATAAGGTTTATTCATATCAATGGCATTTTGCACACAAGAAAGTAGTAGCATGGGACCTGTAGTGTTAATTTATTTACCAGCCCCTACTTGCATAAAACTTTCTAGGATCTTCTTCCCATACACTTTAAGGAGATATTTATTAATTCAGTTTGTTTTGCCCTTAGAAGACAGTTAGCTAAAGTGACATTTATTTCCCACAGCACTGAGAAAATAGTATTCCACTGCCTTCTGGCCCTTAAGGAGTTCTGGTGGTGTAGCAGGTAAGTCATCTGGCTGCTAACCAGAAGGTTGGCAGTTCAAACCTACCAGCTGCTCTGTGGGAGGAAGATGAGGCAATCTACTTCCATAAGGATTTATAGCCTTGGAAACCCAATAGAGGTCACTGTTGTTTGTTGTTGTTATGTGCCAGTGAGTCAGATCCGACTCACAGCAACCCCTCCTTGGGTTTCCGAGGTGGTATTACTATGGCAGTAGATTGCCCAACCTTCCTTCCGATAGGGGTCACCTTAAGTCAGAATTGATTTGATGGCACTGGGTGTTTTTTTTTTTTTTTTTTCCCTGGACTTTATCATTGCTGGTGATAAAAATCTCTAATAGTCATTCTTTATATGATTTGTCTCTTCTCTCTACTTGCTTTTAGGATGTCTGCTTTTGGAGTTTTATAATTTTTTTAGATGGGACAGTGGTGTTTCAGTGGTAGAATTCCCCAAGGGAGATTCAGTTTGATTCCCAGCTAAATGTACCGCATGCAGCCACCACTGTCTATCAGCAGAGGCTTGCATGTTGCCAGGATACTGAACAGGTTTTGGTGGAGCTTCTAGACAAAGACAGACTGGTGGTGATGTACTGCCAAAAATCAGCCAATGAAAACCCTATGGATCTATGATCTGTAAGAATTCTCAGATGTATAGTAGGACAAGGGACAAGGCTGTAGTCACTTCTTGGTTCACAGCCAGCTACCCAAAGTGACCGAGAAGTCGAACCGGCGGTCTCGAGACCATAGTCGTAGGTGACATTAAGCTCAACTGGCATGACATACTACACAAAACATTGTTCTACCTCCTACTTTGGCAAGTAGCAATTGGGATCTTAAAAGCTTGCAAGCAGCCATCTAGATGCAACGATGGGTCTCTCCTTGTCTAGAGCAAAGAAGAATGAAGAAAACCAAAGATTCATGGAAAGAATTAGTCCTAACGACTGGTACACCCTGAGATCCACAGCTTATATGACTATGAGACCAGAAGAACTAGAAAGTGCCCGGCTACCACTGTCAATCACTTGGAGGGGGATCTATGTAGGAGATCCTGGATAGAGATGGAGAACAAAGTGGAACAAAACTCAAAATCATCTGGAGGGGGGAAAGGGGGGGACCAGGTTTGCTGGTCAGATAGAGCCTAGTGGAACCCCTGACTCTATGGCCTCTAGCTGCCCTTCAGGTCTGGAATTAAACCCACACCTGTGGCTTCCAGCCAAACAAAAACAGGCATATGAGTTGAACATTTACATTAGGTAGATACACTCTTTGGAGAGATCAATCATGGGAGAAAGAAGGGCTGTTTATGCACAGGGAGATAGCTTAGGGGGCAGGGGTGCATGAAGGGATGGACACAGGGAGGAGGTAACTATGGGGAGGAAGTGGGAGGGGAGCTGTTGCACTGGGGTAAATTGTAGTCAATGTCATGAGGCAAAGCATATGTGAACTGTTGTATGGAAAGTGAATTTGCTCAGTAAATTTTCACCCAAATCGCAACTGAAAAAACAAACAAACAAATAAACAAAAACCCTATGGATCATGATGGTTTTGTTGTGCTGTGCATGGGGTCACCATGAGTTGGCAGCTGACGTGACAACAGCTAACAATACCAAAGCTATATTTAGGTGTTAAGTCTTTTTAATTTATCCTGCTTAAGGACTTATTTTGTTTCTTAGAGAATTCATCTCCTAAGCATTTTTGAAAATTCTCAGCCATTATGTCTTTACTTATTGTTCCTTCCCAACTCTCTACTTTTATTATTTCTGGAGCTCATTTCACCTTACATGTCACCACTTCAATGGTTCTAGATCTTTATACCTCTATGCTCTTTTCTGGGTAATTCCCTCACATCTATCTTTCAGTTCACCATCTGGTTGTCAGGTTTTATTTTACTAAATATTTCAAACATACAGAAAAGTAGGGAGACTAACATAATTATTATGTACTCACCACTAACCTGTATCAATCTTACCATTTTACATTTGCCTCAACATTAAAAAAATAATGCACTTTAGTTAGGTGAAACCCGCTAACTATCCCTACCTGAGCCCATACCCCCTCCTTAAAGGTGAAAACATCCTGAATTTGAAGTTATCATTCCCATGAAGGTTTGTATGCTTCTATGCCATATTATGGGAGCTCTGGTAGCATAGTGCCTAAAGCACTTGACTGCTAACCAGAAGGCTGGCAGTTCAAGCCCACCAGTCACTTCTTGGAAGTAAGGTCAGGCAATCTACTTCTGTAGCGATACTGCCTCAGAAACCCAAGGAGGGGTTGCCAGGAGTCAGGTCTGACTCGATGGCACATAATAACAACAATGACATATTATATCCATAAACAGGTAATACTATTTTGTTTTAAATATTCACATTAACTATATATACATGTTATCCAACTTACTTCTCAGGCAACATGTTTTAAGATTCATCCACATTGATTTAACCCAATTTCACACAATTTAATGTTTAAGACACAATAGTTTAGGAGCTCTGGTAGCATAGTGCCTAAGGCACTTGACTGCTAACCAGAAGGCTGGCGGTTCAAACCCACCAGCCACTCCTCGGAAGGAAGATGGGGTAATCTACTTTCATAGTGATACTGCCTCGGAAACCCAAGGAGGGGTCGCTATGAGTGGGTCCGACTCGATGGCACATAACAACAACAACAACAACAACAACACAATAGTTTTATTTATTCTTTTATCTGACCATGACTGTATTTCCAACAAATTCATTCATTCTGGGTCATTACAATTAAATCAGTATGTTGCTCTCATAGTCAACAACTTTGTTGAATTCTTACTATTATTTTGTACGTTTTTCTTAGACACATTACTTGTCATGCTGTTTAACCAACTAGGTCATTTCAATGACCATTGCTCATTAATAGATCCAGTTGTTTCTGTTTTCAATATGCTCCTTATTTTTTTCTAGTGTTCTATTCTTTCAGAATTCTTTTAATTATTTTCAATAAACATTATATGGGTCTCTTTCAGAGTGCCCAGGACTTCTACTTATTGGGGTGCCATTTCTCCTATGTGTTCTATCTGCTTCTTCAGAGTCAAAACATCTTTTCCTCC